GAATAGGTCATATAGGCCTCACTTGGTTGTATTTTGGTCTAAATCGTTCCCAAAACTTAGGGAGTTGGTTTTTTTTTGGTGATTTCAAGGCATGTCCATCTAAAAATACCTATAATAGGCATGTTATGAGAAAGAAATGGTTCATTTGGTAAGAAATGAAGAAAATAGGCAAAGAATAGGTCGTATAGGCCTCACTTGGTTGTATTTTGGTCCGAATCGATCCCAAAACTTAGGGAGTTTGTTTTTTGTTGTGATTTCAAGGCATGTACATCTAGGAATACGTAGAATAGACATGTTATGAGAAAGAAATGGTTCATTTGGTAAGAAATGAAGAAAATAGGCAAAGAATAGGTCGTATAGGCCTCACTTGGTTGTATTTTGGTCCAAATCGATCCCAAGACTTAGGGAGTTGGTTTTTTTGTGATTTCAAGGCATTTACATCTAAAACTACGTATAATAGACATGTTATGAGCAAGAAATGGTTCATTTGGTAAGAAATGAAGAAAATAGGCAAAGAATAGGTCATATAGGCCTCACTTGGTTGTATTTTGGTCCGAATCGTTCCCAAAACTTAGGGAGTTGGTTTTTTTTGTGATTTCAAGGAATTTACATCTAGGAATACTTATAATAGACATGTTATGGTTCATTTGGTAAGAAATGAAGAAAATAGGCAAAGAATAGGTCGTATAGGCCTTACTTGGTTGTATTTTGGTCCAAATTGATCCCAAAACTTAGGGAGTTGGTTTTTTTGTGATTTCAAGGCATTTACATATAAAATTACGTATAATAGACATGTTATGAGCAAGAAATGGTTAATTTGGTAAGAAATGAAGAAAATAGGCAAAGAATAGGTCATATAGGCCTCACTTGGTTGTATTTTGGTCTGAATCGTTCCCAAAACTTAGGGAGTTGGTTATTTTTGTGATTTCAAGGAATTTACATCTAAGACTACGTATAATAGACATGTTATCAGCAAGAAATGGTTCATTTGGTAAGAAATGAAGAAAATAGGCAAAGAATAGGTCGTATAGGCCTCACTTGGTTGTATTTTGGTCCGAATCGATCCCAAAACTTAGGGAGTTGGTTTTTTTGTGATTTCAAGGTATGTACATCTAGGAATACTTAAAATAGACATGTTATGAGCAAGACATGGTTCATTTGGTAAGAAATGAAGAAAATAGGCAAAGAATAGGTCATATAGGCCTCACTTGGTTGTATTTTGGTCCGAATCGATCCCAAAACTTAGGGAGTTGGTTTTTTTTTGTGATTTCAAGGCATGTCCATCTAAAACTACCTATAATAGACATGTTATAAGAAAGAAATGGTTCATTTGGTAAGAAATGTAGAAAATAGGCAAAGAATAGATCATATAGGCCTCAATTGGTTGTATTTTGGTCCGAATCGATCCCAAAACTTAGGGAGTTTTTTTTTTTGTCAATTCAAGGCATGTACATCTAGGACTACGTATAATAGACATGGTTTGAGCAAGAAATGGTTCATTTGGTAGGAAATGCAGAAAATAAGCAAAGAATTTGTGTATATAGTATGTATTTAGATTTAGATTTAGATTAAGTTGTATAGTTGCACAAAATGTATACATTATTATAAATAAATATATACAAATATTTTCGTAATTAAATCATCAATTCAAAGTTATCTTAAATTAGGTGCAGGATATATAGGTGACAAAATTCAAATTAAATCATTTAATTTGCTAAATAAACAAGATTATTCCGACGGAAAAATCCGTCGGAAGCTCTTACTTTCCGACGGAATTTTTTGTCGGAATCTTCCGTCTTCCGACGGAATTTTTCGTCGGAACATATCCCCTTCCAACGGAAATTTCCGTCGCAACGTTAGAGCTTTCGACGGAATTTTTCGTCGGAAAAGGATATGTTCCGACGGAATTTTCCGTCGGAAGGGGATATGTTCTGACAGAATATTCCGTCGGAAGCTCCAACGTTGCAACGGAAATTTCCGTTGGAAACGGATATGTTCCGACGGAATTTTTTTCGTCGGAAAATTGCACCGGACTCTCGTTTAAAGTCAAAACCAGCTCCGACAGAATTATTTCCGTTGGAAAGGTGTCTTTCGACGAAATTTCCCTCGGAAAACGTCGAATTTCCTACGAAGGGTATTGCGACAGACTTGTTCCATCGGAATTCCGTCGGAAGTCCCTTTTCCGATGGATTTTCCGATGTTTCTGACGGATAAATTCCGTCGGAATCCAGCTGTTTTCTTGTAGTGAACCTCTTAGCTGGCTTCTTCTTAACCTCAGCCAGCTTTTCAACAACAGTCGCATCTAACAAGCAAAAATACAACAAAATTAGCATATTGAGATTATCATCTGACATCATAAACACAAAATAAACTAAGACAAATGAAATCAGATCAATCTCAACTCGTAAACTACCTTACCAAGGCTCATCTTGATTTTCGCCTCAATATTGAAGTTGTGCATATCAAAAAGAGCTACTGGCACACTGCTGTTGCATTCCTCGTTGTCAAATGTTACAAAATAGTCTCAAATCAAATATTTATCTCATCAATACTGGAAGTTACCAACACAACTAAAACATCATTTAATTCAATTCAGCAAGCTTTATAAGCATAATATTACCAATAAATTTCATCGATTACTCTTTCATTTCAGCCGTAACAACAGATTTTAGCGCATTCAAACCAGGAATAACATCAACAAAATTTGAGCAGGCAAAAATAAAATTTAAAACAGATACAAATCACATTCTAATTCACACAAAATTAACACCATATCTATTCCTCATTGCCAATTATAATCATTAACTTTTCAATAGTTACCAACTTACCACCAAGCATTATCAGTCATAGCTAAATAAACACCACTAAACATTCAACAATCGCTCATTCAGCTTAAAAGCAACAACAAATTCACCATTCTTAAAGCAGGAAGAAAATCAAACAGGTTTAAGCAAGCAAAATACAAATCTACATAATAAAACGTGAGGAATACTCTGGTTATAATCACAAACCGAAAATTAGCAACTAAAAATCAGAAGTCTACAACGAAATCAAACAACGATGTATTGAATACACAAGTCTAAAACCTGAAGAAAAAAAAATTAGGGTTAAACATGAATTAAAAATCAAAAAAAGTAAAACCTAGGTTTAGATATAGGGAGAAAAATACCAGCGAGAGAAAGCGTTGCCATCCTTAGCATGCTTAAGGGAAAGAGTAGCAGAAGGAGAAGACTCAGCAACTGGAGACTCAGCTTCAACTCTCTACCTCTGCTTGGGCGGGTTGCTGCTTGTTGATCCACCTCCTGCCATTATTTGTGTTGCTCAAGCTAACTTCTTCTTTTTCTAGAGAGAGAAACAGAGAAAGTTCTAGAGAGAGAATGAAAGATGGTGAGATCTGAGAAAATGAAAAGATGATGTTGAGGAGAGAAAAGAGAGATAAAACGAGAGACTGAGGAAACAGAAAGAAAGAAGAGAAGAAAGAGAAAGAAGGAAAAGGAGAGAGAAGGAGTTTGAGGCTCCATTGTTGTAGACGAGAGATACTGAGAGAGGAGGAGATATCGAGGAAAGAGAAAGAAAGAAGATATAAAAAAGACCGGTTTTTTTCATAGCATTCGCACCGGTTCGAACTGAACCGGTGCGATTAACTCATTTTTCGCACCGGTTTGGTTCAAACCGGTGCGAAAACTCTTTCCCCCAATCCCGCCTATTTTTTTCGCACCGATTTTTAAAAACCGGTGCGCATTGTGCGGTGCTCATTTAAGTTTTTCTACTAGTGAAATAAGTTCATAATTTTATATTATTAACAATTAATTTCTCTCCGATGATTTGCAAGCATAACTTATTTTATATATTGCTTAACATGCATTAGCCTAGAATTTTATGAATCAAACACATTGTATGACACTAGCTACTGCACAGGAAGGATGGGTGGCAATTATAAACATTCTTAGAAAAACTAATGAATTTTATTCATAAAAATTGAAGTAATTGTTTTTAATCTTTTATGAGGACTTTAGTGTAAAATTCGGCTCAGCTAGTTTGATTTAACTTTTGACATGTATATATGATTTTATCTTGTTTGAACTATTCTGAAATTATCAACTTATAATAATTAATTAATTAGAGCTAATAAGGGATACTTATCTTTTAGTTCACAAGTTAAATAAGTTAGAATTTAGAGCCACTAGGCTTGGGTAGTCAGATGAATAGAATTTATGGTTAAATTCAAATAACTTTTGATTGGAAATTTTGGGTGAAGAAAAGAAAATTTTGGATACATATTTATTTTAATTTTCGGGTAATGTACTCCTAGAGTTTTAAGCCCGTAATTGGTTTTCCAAGAGACTATTGACTGACATTGGTATGGATGACTCAAACCCTAATAAATAGATAAATAAAAGCCTATAGTATATGAATAAACATTTAAAAACTTTTACACGAAAATTTAATGAAACATTTGAAGATTAAACAAAAGAATTGCACTGAAATCACTAGAACATGACACAACATTAGAATACACACAATTCAAATTGTATTGAGACTTAATATTGTTAATGACTTAATACCAAATGTTTGTTTTGAGAATTAAGGTTGGCCTAGTGGTTGGAGGCCCTCCTTCCATCCTTGTGAGAGGGGTTCGATTCTCACCCCAAGCAAGTAGGAATGGGATAATAATTTTATAAATTAATGGATTGTGTGATGTTGTTTTGTGAAGGACATTGTAATTAAGTTCTCTGTATGAATGGTATAACATATGGCAACAAAAATTGTAATTTAAAGCTGCAATGAGCTGGTATAGTGACCATATTGGAGTGGTGCAATGAGCTTAACATTGAGCTTACAAAAGGTGTTGCTGTATAACACAACCTACATCGCCATTTATTATTTGATCTCAATAAAAGAGTTCTTACATGGTACATAAGTTTAGATTAAGCCTAGTATTACGAAGTACATAGATATATAATGTTTTGGAAAAAGTGTCGTTTTAGGACACATGCTTTGATTTTTTTCTGCCAGTACTAAATAAGTTTAAATATATAGCTAAAGAAAAGGTGCCGTTAAGGACACACAATTGGTTTTTGTTTTTTGTCGTAGCCTTTGCGTGTTTAGTCAAAGGAAATGTCTTTGAGAGCCCATTTGAGGACCCGGATTCTGGTGAGAGAAGTTGTTGGTGCAATTTGGAAATGTATGGCCTTCAAGTTAGTAGCTATTTCTTCAAATTCCGTCCAATCACCCTGTCCAATAATGCAGATAACGTGTTAGTTGAGTATTAATTTCATGATTTGATTATTTCATCTGTTGTTTATGTTTGGGGGCAGATGGTCATCTAATGTGTAAAAGAAGTCGATATATAGACGTTGTTGGTTCTTTAGTATATATTATAAAAATTGTTGCCTTTTTTTTCTGTTCTTACCGCCATTTTCTTCTCATATATCTCTGAAGTAGGGAGACCAATGAGTTTTTCGCAGTCTTCAGCAAAAGCAGTGAATCTTAGAGTCCCAGTGGCGTCAGTCACATCGACTGTGAAATTAACCCTGCGTTTAAAGGGACATTAGTATTTTGATAATTGTAGTTGTGGAATAGGTTTAATTAAAATAGAGTCTAACCTGACTGTAGCAATACATTTGTTTTTTGAGCAATGTAGGCATTTGAAAGATGTGTCCCTAGCTTCTTGGCAACGCTTTCCACAGTTGTTACATCCTAGGTAGCAATCAGGTTAGCCAACTCAGCATTCGGGATAGTGGCTTGTATCCAATGACGTTCTTCTTGCATTGTGTTTCCAGCCTACAAGGTTAAAAAAATCCATCAATTATAGGTTAATAGATAAGGATTGGTTATCTATGGGCGTGGGGGATGTTGGCATTACATTTTTCTGCTTAATTTCGCTGATAGTTTTGACTGCTGTTGTTCTTGATAATGTTCTGATGCGCAGTATCTTTGTATCCTGGTCAAGAAGCATTGCTTGTTTTTCTTTCATCCTAGGAGGTAAAAAACGACGAATTAGTACAGATGATTAGCATTACATAATGTAAGTGCAGTGTGAATTTTTATTGCTTACCATGTTCGAAGAGCATGTGCTTCCTCCCCAGTAGGATCTGAGATGATAGTAGTCGACTTTGAGCTTGCAAGGGAGAACCCTACATGTTTAAAGGTTGGGAATTACGCATTGTATTGAGGTATGGTATAGATTTGGGGAAGAAATCATAGGCTACCTTCATATGTGGTTGGACGTAAGTGTGTGAAGGCTGCAACTATTGGGCTTAGCACCCAACCTACAAGCTTCCCAGTGTCAATAACAGCAAGGCTTCCACAAATTGAGATGGTCAGTGGCTGTTCAGTGCTGTTTATGATCGCATATTGAGTGAGGCAGAGTTATGCAATTTGGTAGAAATGGTGGAATATATTGTTACATTAGGTTATTATTGTAATTGGATATGTACCTTTGGTCAGTGGCTATGATTTCGCGAACATCCATTAAGTTTCCTCCTGATGTTGGTACTTTCCTGACCTCCTCTATGTAAAGGACAACAGCAAGCAAATCTGTGTGACGGGCAATATACGGTCAATGGCAGGTACATAAAGTGCAGTTACTAATCAAGTTGAAGTGGGTTGGCACTGTACTTACCGAAGCGTTCATTCTTAAAGCTGGTCCTTGGAATTGAGTTGATGGAGATGTAATTTGGCAGAACAGGACCTACAGTTGGGTCAACTAGTTCGATGATCGTTTGTCCTCCGAACGTCATCTGGCAATCATTTTCTCGTTTTTGGTACTTTGGTTCTATTGGTTTGAGTGGAGCATTTGCGATCTCATATTCTTTCCCTAGTTGTAGGACGTTCTTGAAAGTGTTTATTTCATCACCAAAAAGAGTACCTCCAAGATGGTTACCCTGCACAAATTACAATGGTGTTTTGTGAATTGTTGTAGTACATACATTTATTGCAAAAATGAGGGGCAGACAACTCTTTGAGTTTAGTAGGCAGCGATTGGCCCACATTTATTGCAACACCAGCTAAAAGCAGTAATAAATAAACATTTAGTCGAAACAATTTTTTAAAAACTCAAAGAAATGGGTAGCTTATTATTCAGAGACATTCATCTGTCTTTGATTGCTTTTGGCGTTTAGGTTTTGGAATCCCCAAAATCGCCCGTTGTCGAGAGCTCATTCTTGTCTTTGATGTTGTTGGATATTCTGGGAAATCTGCTACAATAGGAAACACCCTTATTTAAGTAATGCGAAGTTTTTCATTTTTAAAAAAATGGAAAAAAAAAAAAAAAAAAAAAAAAAAAAAAAAAACATTGTGCATACCCATCACATATATAAGTATATGTTATGCCTCGGGTTGTAGGAGGGACCCCTTAAATACACCCCAACAAGGTCTTTTCGTTTTTTCTTGCACATTAGCCAATTGCTTACAAGTTTTCCTCAGGAAAACATTTGTACAATTATAATGTAAAATGTAAGGTTCCAAGGGTCCATGCTGTTGTATCAAATTCTGTGATCTTCCATGATAGGTTTAAATTTACTAAACTCCAAAGAATAATGCAAAATCAGAGACAAGTCAATCATGCTGTAAATTATTGTCATATGAACAAACTCCAAAACTAATCACTCCAACATATAGAACCTGGTCCTTGCAGGAAAGGTTAGAAAGTGTTTCTCACCAACTATCAAGATGTCCTGATTAATTGAATGTTGATTACTGAACCCTACCCATGATAACAACTCCCTTAAAACCCTGATTTAAGCATTTGAGGTATAGACAACAGAATATCACTTTCAGAGGACACAGAGGTGTTCACTTTCAGGGGAATACACTGTTACTTTAATTCTAGACAAGCTACTGATATAAAGGCTCATTTGTTGGACAAGTAAAAAGAGAATCAACTCGAGTAAAGTAAGTTATTACACGGAAAAAGCAAACCTGATGCTTGTAAATAGCTCCGATTTGTCTGTAAACCACTCTGTTGTAGCCTCTTTGTCCTTTTAACCCTAGATAACTCCCTTGAATCCCTTCTTGCTTTCTTCCTCTTTTCACCATAGTTATATTTTGTACTCCTGCATTAACAACCTTTTGGTTGTCTAGAAGGCAGTAACTAATGTTGTCATGGAATTAAACCATAACCCCCATTAAATATCAAACATTTTAACTTCATTATTCTATTTCCCATTTAATTACTAATTAATTGAGTAGACCTTTCAAATTCATCCATCTAATGGAATCACCAATCAGAGATAGAATTAGAAATTAATAGTAACTGAAAACTTGTAGATATAATCAACTCATTTGTACATTAAAAATGTGATGCTCTTAAAATTGTACTCATACTATAATTCTTGAATGAAACAATTCTATGCAATTTTTTATTTCTTTTTTTAACTTCCTCTCCTTTTTTTGAACAAATAATATACTTCACATATTAGATGAGTTGTATTTTAAACCCACCACACTGACATTGGTGCACCAACAGAGTCCTCACAAAGAACTTATGACATAAAGAACATAAACTCACGAAATTGATGTTGTCAGTTTCACGAGTCCTCGGTATATAATAGACCTGGCAAATGGGTTGTTCGGGTCGGGTTATTTCGGGTCGGTTAACATTTGGGTCGGGTATGGGTCGGGTCGGGTTATTTCAGGTTTCGGGTATGGCTCGGGTCGATTTCGGGTCAAGTATGTTAGAGCATATTCGGTCGGGTCAAAATCAGGTCGGGTCATGTTCGGGTTGTTCCATTTAATTTGTGGATCTAGCTCAAATCAATAATTTTATATTTTATTATTGCTATAATAAGAACTATCAATTTGGTTTATGAGTGCGGCTACAGTTGAAGATGAACAATTTAAATTATTTTTGGCACCAGACATTTTTAGTTCAATTATAAGGTAATTTTAATTCGGGACATTTCGAGTATTGGGTATGTTCGGGTCAATTTTGAGTATAGAGTTTGTTCGGGTCAAACAATTCGGGTCAATTTTGGGTCGGGTCAATTCGGGTGCATCAGATCAACTCTATTTTCGGGTCGGGTCATGGGTCGAGTCATCGGGTCTGGGTCTGGATTGCCAGGTCTAGTATATAATGATGTGTTTTTTAAAAAAAAAATTGAGAAAGAATAATGATGTGCTTTTGATGAATGATAACATAATTTTAATGATTTTCCTCTAAATAATTAATAATTTTCACATCAAAATAGGATTACAAACCATTTTCAAAGTCATAGTTCTCCTCTCAATGGGTATTTTTTTTTAATCAAATTCAACAAAATTTTTTCACAACCATCAAATTTATACTCACAAATTTCCACAATTCAGAATTAAATGGGTATTTTTTTTTAATCAAATTCAACAAATTTTTTTCACAGCCATCAAATGTATACTCACAAATTTCCACAGTTCAGAATTAACAATTGCCCAGAGTTGACATTTTCAATACTAAACTAAAAAAAAAGAACAACTTATTAGGAGTAATACTTTGCATTAACAATACTAAACTAACTCTTGGCCAACAATTAGGGGTGTCCGTTCGGTTTTCGGTTTGGATTTAGTCCAAATCCGATCCAATCCGAAATATAATTCGGTTTTCAATTTTCCAATCCGATCCGATCCGAATTTCTCTCTTGGTCCAATCCGAACCAATCCGAACCAATCCGAATTAAAATTGGGTTATTTGGATCCGATCCGAAAATCCGAATTATAATACATTATTTTTTTAAGCGCCTAATACAATTATAAAAATAAAGCTTTACTATAAATAAAAGTCTTCAAAATCATGATTAAAATACATAGTTCAACGTCAAGTCATTAATTAATTAATACAAAGTCTCTCTAATTTATTTTATGTAGTATTAAGTATTTGACTTAAACTTCAAAATATATAGAAATCCATATTTATACAAGCTTAATTTTACAATTCGGTTTTCGGTTTGGATTGGATCCAATTAGGGTCAACCGATCCAATCCGAAAATCTGAATTTCCAAAAAATCTCAATCCGATCCGATCCGATTTAAAGTTCGGATCCGATCCGAATTGATAATTCGGTTTGGATTGGATTGGATTTCAGTTTTTATCTGAATTATGGACACCCCTACCAACAATTCAGAACTAATACTTTGTTAATGCAGGAGTACACAACTTGTATTTTTGCACTGTACAGAGAGGAGAGAGAAAGAGTTGCAGGAGGCGCCAGTGACCCACCTCCCATAAACTCCGGCCGCCATCTTCCACCGCCTCCCCCTCGAAAGGCGCCTGTGATTTCCTAGCCCCTTCCTCAGCGTGGTCGTCACCAGCCCATGGACCACGAAATGCTTCTTTGATGTCATTTCTTGTATCAACTTTTCTTGGCCCCAATTTGATTTGTACTGTTCTTTATTTAGGAATTTAGGGATTGTAAAATTTAGTACTTCAATGGAGCTTATAATTGATAGGTATAACCTTTTCTTGGCCCCAATTTGATTTGTATTGTTCTTCATTTGGGAATTTAGGGATTGTAAAATTTAGTACTTCAATCGAGGTGGTGAGAAGAGAGAGAAAATTTTAAAGTGCTCAAGGGGAACTTGTACTTGTTTAACGAAGCAATAATGGTGAACAGAGATGAACACACATGGAGAAGAGAGAGAAATGCATACGTGTTGGCAGGAGAAAGTGTAAATTACTATGGGGTAATAAGGTAAATAAACAATTTGAATGGTATAAAGGTCCGAGCACGGTTCATAATGACTTAATACCAAAACCCATTAGTATAAGACTTGGATCTATTAAACAAAGTATATATAAGCCCAATATGGCACCTTACTAAAGATGGGCCATTATGAATCTATCATATATATAATCCTTATTTTCAAAGTGTTTTACCCATAAATACTAGCTAAAAAATTATAAGGGTTGAAGTCTGATTACGGTCTTTATCCTTACCTAATTAAAAAAAAATCTTTTAACAACTAATTAAGGTTAACCCGTTAACC